ACATTCAATGGAATAGCAATTAAACCCTAACATCCTCTGCCCCAAAAACTAACAAGGTGATTCTAAAATGCATGTGGAAATGCAAAGGGTTAAGAATAGCCAAAACTATTAGAACTATTAGATAAAAGTTAGAGGTCTTACACTACTAGACATGAAGACTTCATAAAAATTACAACTCAGTTGTTCAATACATTGTGCTGTGTCAAGTTAATACTCATACGGAAATACATAAACTTTGGCTACTATTTCACATCATATACAAATATCAGCAGTAGATGGACTGTAAACCTAATGTGGATGGTGAAACAATAAAGCTTTTATTTTTATTTTTATTTTTTTGAGACAGAGTCTTGCTCTATTGCCTAGGCTAGAGTGTAGTGGTGTGATCTTGGCTCACTGCAACCTCTGCCTCCTGGGTGCAAGCGATTCTCCTGAATCAGCCTCCCACGTAGCTGGGATTACAGGCATGCACCACTATGCCTGGCTAATTTTTGTATTTTTAGTAGAGACGGGGTTTCACCATGTTGGCCAGGCTGGTCTCCAAACCCTGACATCCAGTGATTTACCCGGCTCGGCCTCCCAAAGGACTAGGATTACAGGCATGAGCCACCTCACCTGGCCAATAAAGCTTTTAGAAGAATATAAGAATGTCTTCATAACCTTGGTGTGAACATTTATTAAATATGACACAAAATTATTAGCAATTAAATAAAAGATTGGTATATTGGACTGCATAAAATTTTTGGTCATCAAAGGAAAGCACTTAGAAAGTGGAAAAGCAAACTAAAGAGAAGACATTTATGGTAATATATCAGACAAAAACCCTCATATTCATAAAACATAAAGGACTCCTGCAAGTCAATAAGGAAAAAGGCAACCCAATAAATATGAACAAATGACTTGACAGGTACTTAACAACTGAGGATAGCCAAATGACTAATAATATAAAAAGGTGTTCCACACATCACTACTGATCAGGAAAATGCACCTTAAAACCTCAGTGAAATACAAAATCACCAGAATGGCTAAAACCACAATCAAATATACACATTTGTCAGAATGGCTAAACTACTAGGGCTGATGATACCAAGTACTGATGAGGATGTGGAACAGCTAGAACACTTATACATTATTGGTGGGTACGCAAATTGGTACAACCATTGTTGAAAACTATTTGGTAATATCTTCTACAGCTAAATATATATTCATGTTATGACTCGGTAGTTTCACTCCTTTTTTTTTGTCTGTTTTTTGAGGCAAGGTCTCACTCTGTCACCCAGGATGGAATGCAGTGGTATGATCATGGCTCACTGCAGCCAGCTGTTTCACTTTTAAGTGGACACACAAGAGAAATGAGTGTACATGTCCATTAAAAGATATGTACAAGAATGCTTATGGCTGCTTTAAACATAAAAGCTAAAAATCACAAACAACCAAAGTGTCTATCAATGGTAGAATGGATAAATTGTGATGTATTGCGTGTGGCGGGCGCCTGTAGTCCCAGCTACTCCAGAGGCTGAGCAGGAGAATGGCGTGAACGGGGCGGCAGCTTGCGCTGAGCCGAGATCACGCCACTGCACTCCGCCTGGGCGATAGAGCGA